GCTATTGAATAAATTTGAGCGACATTTATAAGCAATTACCCGAAAGGGGAGCGATTCCGGCTTGTGAGACGTCTTGTGCTTACAAGCAAAAAGAGAGCAGGTCTGATTCTTTTATGGGAAACAAATTCAAAATATCACATATAATACTTTAGCTCTATTGTTAATTTGTATTTGTTTCGTTGACAAACTTTGTGTGTTATAAAAAAAATAATTTTAAATTTGAGTCTGAAGAAAACTGTAGGAAGATAAAATTCAATTCGTATGAATATTTTTTTTTTATTATTTTCAACTTTGAATTGTGAAATATATAATTTTTTTTTTTACAGTACATGGCATCCTTCTATATATATGGGAATTACGAGAAACAACAAGCGAAGTTAACAATGTAAAGATTGACGTTAAAATTTTGTTATCAAGGTGTAACTAGATTTAAAAATAAGTATAACTCGGTGTGTTTGAGGAACAAAACTTTATATTTATTTATTTTCGGTATCTCACATGCCGAATTGAAAATTTAAATTGATATTTATTTATTACATTATTTGTTATTTCCAATTGATAATTGATTGATTGGCAATCAGTAGTTAATTACTTAAACGGTTAAATTATAGGCCTTGGAACCTGCTGGACCATGGGAGGGCGTCAGAGATGCGACCACAAATGGAAATGTATCCTATCAAATGAACTTATTTACCAAAACCGTAACTGGTTCAGAAGATTGTCTTCATCTTAATGTCGCCACTAGGCACTAAGCATTTTCAGTCAGAAGCAATTTCACCAAAACCGGAAATGGTTCATCTCTACGGATGGGGAGGATTCGTCAGTGTAACTCGCAATTAGGATCAGGAAATATTCGGGTCAGCGGACTATTTGCTGACGAAAGATGAAGATGTGGTATTTGTTGGTGTTAATTATCGACCGAATATTTTGGGAAAACTATTGCACTTAAGAATAGTATTCATACTTACATTTAATAAATTTTAACAAAGCAAATTTCGAGTGTAATACACCTATACCGGAAAACTCATCTAGCAGTTACTAGAAGTACTGGGTTTAATTATGGTGAAGGTCATAGCTATGGCATGTAAATCTGTTGCGGCATACTGCTAAGTTTATTATTATCCCATATTCTCTCTGTGGGATTATGGTTCCCACTTCCAACTACATAAAGCTCCCTACTGCAGGACATGAGCACCATATTTCTTCGGCCGTCTCCCATCCTCTTCGCACAACGGTAGTCATTGGTCATTGGTAACCAAAACAGTGCAAACGCCTGAAAACACTAAAATTTATTTAAAATCACTTCATTGAAATGGCGTAATGGAGTGAGCTCTGGTGCCGTCTCCTCTCAATTTCAAATTATTCACAATATTATAATTTAAACATTATTATCACGTAAATTGTAGATACTTTCCATGCTTGCTAAGGGTTTGTTTCATAGGGTTATTAGTCAGTCGAGTGGAATTTTAAACCCATGGGCATACGGATGCGGAAACATAGAAGTTGTGAATTAGCTGAACGAAGACATCAAATTGGAGGCAAATTCTTTGAAAGTGTTGGAAAATATCTCAGTCCAACTGCAATTTAAGAATATAATATTATATTTAGACCAACGTTTCTCAACCTCCTATTATACTGACCCATTAAACAATCAAAATTTAAATAACAAATGTTGGAACTTCTTCCATACCCGTATATTGAAGTTTTCGTGACATTGTTTTTCAATTTTGTGAAGTCCCTTTACATGCTTTTAAAGAATACAATGGAGTATTGTAAAGCCAGACAGTAATGTGACGTTTTTTCATGCTGAAAGAAGAAATTTCGACCGGAGTTGTGGTGAACCCACATAATGGTCATGTTTTATGAGAATTTTTGCATACCTATCTAATATCCTTGCCTTATGAAGCAAACGCAAATTTTACTAATGAGATAGCAATCTACTTTTTAATAGGGACAGCTAACTCTGTGTGTCAAGCTAAGAACGAAGATGTGACACTGTTGGAAGATAATCTTCCTGATAGGGTAAAAAAAATGTTAAACTTACTGAAAGCTTAAAAAGTACCCAATTAGTACCCTCTAAATGTAGTGGGAAATTAAAGAAGTTAGTAACTCACAAACTGGTAAAGATATGCAAAAATGGATAAAATGAACTGTTACAATAGAGAAACCCTTGTCGATTATCTAAAATTTAAATTTAATTTTAAAATAACCTATATTTAAACTATATATTATAGGAAAATATGAAAGTGTTCAAAAAAATGTTTTAATTTGTTGCTATTGCCTATTTACTACATATCCCGATCCCCAGGTTAAGAAACGCTGTATTACTCGAATTTTGATTGTGCAAGCCATTCCTTTTTACTTTGAACTGGAGGCCGGCAGTGAAGAATACGAAAGAGTCAACAAATCTTTTAAATCGAGTGAGGAATTCATATATAAGGTTATATTGCCATAATTCTTGCATCTTAGCATTTTTTGTTGCAGTTATACTTTGACGCAATGTTTGTTGCTGCTATTACAAAATTTATAAAACTGGCAGTTCAGAAATTGGCGAATCCGATTTTCTTCTACCAGTTTGCTGTGGATAAAGCACTGGAGGACTGTTTAAGTATCTTCCTTAACTTGGTATACTCTGACGCAATGTTTCATCTCACGTTGCAGATTGTGCGTATATGATTATGATGGTGAGTCGCCCAGTGGATCATCCTACCGACATTAAAATAATAAGAAACCTGGTGAAAATGTGGACCATTTTGCGAAGTATGGCGCCCAGCGTTGAATAATTCGCTTGTCGATTGGCAACCAGTGAAAAGTCGAAACGAATGGCCCTGCCTGAAAATTGACGAGGATTTATCGTTAATTCAAAATCCATTTCAAAAAGAGTTGAATTATGGCAAAAATTGTTCAGTAAATGCTTCCCGAAGATATAGATGAAATGCTTTTAAGTGCCTTATTTTTCTAGTTAATAACAGTTAGTTCTAATTAGGAATAAACGTTTGCATGAACTCATATTATGTCGTTGATTGTTTCATTTCTTTAGAAACGTTTGCAATTTTAGTTCAAGAAATTTGTGTACATTTAAATTCTCATTATGCCCTTCTACAACATAATATCCTGTCCAATATCTATAAATCTAATTAATATTTACTTCACGCTTATAAATTCCTATTAAATTTTTGCTTCTGTGGTATCAACTCTCATGTTCCAGCTGGAACCTGAAATAAGATCTAGAATAAAGTAAGTCAGGAATTGTTTCGCAAAGCTTTAGCGCAACCTCGAAACAGCCTAGATCTACTACTAAGGCTTTTAACATGTTATCCTCCTTTATGGAGCTGAAACATGTACACTAAAAGCAACCACTATCAATGAATTAGAGGTTTTGGAGGTATATAAACCTCAAATCAATCAATCGCAATACCATTCATCCGACCCGGTAGAAAGAAGTTATCCAGAGATATTCAATAATAGACAGGACTAAGATTGGAGGAACTGACGAGAAAGGCTGAGAAGTCATTAGATATATAAAGGTGTAACACATGACATAATGGAAATATTATGACCCAAATAAAAAGAAAACGAAATTACTCTAGCGAAATTTACGCTCTTATAATTGTTAAAAATTGGCGGTCGTAGAAACCATGCCGCTGTAGATACGTTTCAATAGTAAGGTGGGTTTTTTATTGCTCATCTTTCTTAAAGTCCCTGGTAAAACTATTTAATTTCAGATCCGGAGAGTTGCTTCCAAATCTCTTGAGTCTAAACTTAGGTCTTCTAAGTAGATCTCTGGAATGATTCGGATAAGCATAACAATAAGAATCAGTTAAGTTTTCTTTCATTCTTTGTGTTTTTAAGAACTGATAATAAACATAGATGCAAGAAAGAGGTATACCAAGAGGTATATAAAATAGGTTTGGCACGAATGGTTTTTTCTAAATTCTAAATATTCAACCACCAGTGATCCAAATGACACATTAGGAAATAGAACAAGATGCTACTTTCATTCTAAGAGTGTAAATTGACGAAATTTTTTTCTTTGGAACTGACAGTTCAAAATACGATATTTGTTTCTGTTTCCATTTTGTGTTACCTATTTGAGCACCGAGGCCTCTTTTCGATTATCAAAATTGAGAATACCTGTTATCCTTTGGTAACTAATTAACGCACGTTTTACCAATTATTACACGTATTTAAACCAAAACGAACCAGAACTAATTAACCCCTGTTTTAAATATAAATAAAAATCACCGAAGCTTTGAAAGACGCATTGTCAACACTAAACTATCGCAAATGGGACGGCACTAACTTCGATTGGTGTGTTGTTTGGCTGAGCTGGAGCTCCGACAGCAGATTGATGGTCGACTACGTGCTAGCAATTCTAAGCTAATTACCCGGGGAAGCTTCGCTCGCGGGAGCACACTCACAAACCGTTGAAAAGAGAGCGAGCGAGCACCAAGTGCACGAACACCGGTTCATATTGGTTCCTTTTTTGACCGGCCGGACCTTACGGATTATTAATTCCTGACTTTGTCCGTTTTGCGGATTCAACACAAACGTTTGGTCCTTCTCGCAGCATTAGTGTTTGGATTGTCTCTGGTTGACTGATTGTGTTACTGTAATCTCAATGATAAAAGCTCTTATTTATTATTTGAGTGTAAGGATCTTCAATAGTCATCCGAAAATATTCTCCAAGAATGGAATATGTGATCGATACCCTGAATTCTTCCTGGTATAAATTAACAAGGCTTAAAAACAATATTAGCGTTTTTAAAAGATTCGAGTTTATTGTTCCTTTGGCTTTTACTTCAAGCTCTCTGTAGTACTTACATTCTATCAATTTGTTATTTAATCTGTATACGTTATTAGCAGGATGATCATTCTAGTAGTATGCGAATGCTAGAAATAGTCTTAAATTTAATGGAAATATGGAGGGATTTATTTTGCACAATATTTATCAAACCACCGTTGGCTTATCAAAGTCCGGCACTGCCTTAAAATTAATGTATCTGATAGGCGCAGATGTTGTGTGTGGATAGATGATTTTGCGGTAGGATGAGTGAACCGGTAGTTACTGTGAATCAAGGCAAATTACGTGGCAGGATCGACAAGGATTTCGACGGAAACGCGTACTACACATTTTTGGGGATTCCGTTTGCTAAACCACCAGTCGGAAGTCGAAGATTCAAGGTGGGTAACGTCCGGTTTATTAGAAAACAATATGGCGCAAAACTGATTTGTTTCCCTCCCTCAGATCTCTTTTGCTTTTTACAGTTTGCGTGTAATATAAAGGTGTTTTATGTATATAAAAGCAAAAGCTAAAAAACAATTACGGGATCTAAGAGATATAAACAATGTTTTGTTTCTCAGGAGCTGATATCATCTTATTAATTTCGTCGATAGCAGTGTATTACGCAGCGTCTATTTCAATTATTGCATAACCTTGGGCAGGTATTTCCAACACTCACAGTAAACACACAAATTATTTAAATAGCGAGATTACAATGTACCGGGTGATCAATTAAGCTAACTGTAGCGCTTCCATAAAAATTTCAACAACCTTACCAATTTTGAAACTTTTAATTTTTATTACAGTAACATAAACAACACATTATACACGTTTTCTGTCTTTTCGCACTTAAAATATTGTGGATTTATTCTGGCAAATATCATCCTCCTGGTAAGTTTCGTTAGAGTTCTCATTCGTTTTCTCATTTCTAACATGCCCCAATTGTGATATCTTGTTTCCAACTTGGTCTCAAGCTGGTTGTCTCCTTGTTCTGACGCAAACGATAAGGGTAAAGAAAGCAATATGTCCCCAGTTTAGCTGCACAAAGTGTAAGCAGTAACTTTTTCTAACGAGAACTGTACGTTAAATTGAATTGTTCATTCGGACTGGAGCATGAAACTTGGCCGAAATGTTTTTCCATAGAAGTGGCTTCACAGTACTCGTGCCTCAAAATGTCCGGGCGACTGTACCTCATATTTCACGGTGATTTTAAATGAACACATTTGTCCTTCATAATTCTGCTTATGGTCGTCTTAAAATTTAGATATCTCCAAAATTTTCTTCAATTTCCTGATGAAAACAGAAATGGACATTTTCGTCTGCTGTACCATTTATCTTGATAACATTTTCATTGTGACTTTTTTTTTTAAAAGATATCAAAGAAAGAAAGAACAAAATGTAAGGTCGACAAAGTTTTGATATGTAAAATAAAAAAACTAACAATTTTCGGAGATCTCGTCCTATTTGAGATATTTTGTATATGTTTTTCGGTATTTAAAACCACATTTTATATTTTATTTTACATGACAAAAATAGGACAAAACTAGGTGATTTTTATCATGTATCAAATACAAATAAATTAAATTTGTTTTTCTACTCCCGTCTGTAAAATACCTAATTAAAACTAACGGTTGTAGAAAAAGTATAGTATCCAACATGTTCGGTAAACTTTTTAACTTACTCGTTTATTAAAAACTCGGTCCACTGCGCTCCGCACTTGTTGCACAATATATTATTACTATTCTAAATATTACTACATAAGACCACACATTTTTGGTAAACTTCATATGATTCTTGGCATTTGTTAATAGTTCCACGTTGTCTCTTAACTGATTGGCAGTGTAATTTTTTGCCGAAGTTAAACAACATTATCACTAGGAATTTTGTGCACCTGAATTTTTATGCGCCCAATTTTTGTATTTGTCTTGGTATCTGTGGAAACAAAAAAGTTATATCCAGCAAAATTTTATGAACGCAAGGTATTTCAGTTTTAATTGGTGATTTCAAATTACCGCATTTTTCGCACTTCTACTTGAAATAACACATAATGTGCAAACTGGTCCTCTATATATATATATATATATATATATATATATATATATATATATATATATATATATATATATATATATATATATATATATATATATATATATATATATATATATATATATATATATATATATATATATATATATATATATATATATATATATATATATATATATATATATATATATATATATATATATATATATATATATATATATATATATATATATATATATATATATATATATATATATATATATATATATATATATATATATATATATATATATATATATATATATATATATATATATATTTTTTTTTTTTTTTTTTTTTTTTTTTCTAGACGTTTTTGTTTCATATTTGAGTAATTTCAGTAAGTTCTCATTACTTTCTTGTCTTTGCAAGTTTGAAATTGTTGGCATTTTATTCTGATATAGATATAATGATTTACGAAATCAAAAATCTCTTTGAAAATAAAAAAAATAAGGAAACATCCTTTACCCAGCTTGTATAAAATATATAAATCTCCACTTAAATGAAACCCGCTACATATGAGTTGAGAACGTGAACGATTTTATTCAGGGAGTGGGAAAATGACCTCTCGAAAAATCTGGTAGCGTGGCGTGTAGCCTTTTAAATTTCAATTTTCAATCGATTTCTTAATACATTATCAAACATGACTGTTAAATCTCCATAAATCATTGCTAAAATACGAGACATTGTTTTTAGTGCCGGCTTTTAAAGCAACTCGATCGTGCAATATTTAGCTCGAGGGCAGAGTCGATATTTATTGTCGGAATTACCAGACAGCCTTTTTAGAGGCCTTTTTGATATAAATGAACGACATAGTTAAGAAATATTTTTGACTGGAAAGGTATTTAGGATTGGCGAAGCCAGGAATTAGTAGTAAACAACAACAAACGTAAAAATTTAGTAAACGTGAATAATTGAAAAGGGTTAAGTTTATTATATCACATATCACATTATACAGGAAGTGTCAAAACACAGCGAAATCTAGAACGATCTTTTTGGATGTTGAGCAATAAGATTTTAGTTTAATTTTAAGGGAAAGCTAACGGAATTAACGGTAGTAGGAGCTCAATCAATCAGTGAAAGAATACTGTACTTTTCCGAGAGTATAGGGTTTGCCCATAAATCCCCACCGCAGTAAATCTGAAATATGAGGGATATAATACTTGTTATATCTATTGCAGCCTTGTATTATATAAAAATCCAAAGCTCCAAATATCAGGTAAAATGCTGGCCGTACCATTAAATTTCGACTAGCTAATTACCATTAATTTATCACTTTTGACGGTAACATCAAAAAATATACCCAGAAAGTATAATATGCAACACATTGATAAATTTTTTTAGTCACTCGTTTGTTAAATACACGCTCCGCTCACACCAAACCAAACTCGTAACCAAAGTCATCTATAAAAATTGTTACAAAATTTATCATTATCTGTTTGAAATGGTGCTATCATTAAATATAAAAGATTTTCTGCTGTTTTTGCAAAAATTTGTTCCCGATTCTGATTCTTCATTTAATAGGGAAATCTAAAAAAATCTAACAAATTCATTTCAGGCACCCCAACCACCCGAATCGTGGCAAGGTGTGCGAGATGCTACTAAAGATGGGAATATATGCTATCAAGGCAATTTAATAAACAAGACGGTGATAGGTTCCGAAGATTGTCTTTATTTGAATGTTTCAACCCGACATTTGCCCTCGGAAGGGCTTCCAGCCAAGCCTGTTTTGGTCCACTTCCATGGCGGTGCTTTTACTGTTGGTAGCGGTAATCAAGAAGATGAGTATTTTGGCACTCCTCAGTATTTGATGACGCAAGATGTGGTTTTCGTGGGAGTTAATTATCGTCTAGCAATTCTGGGTAGGTGCACTTTACATTCGCTTTAAGAGCGATGCAAGAAACAACGTAATGTAATCCTTTGGAGTACTCAAATTAGACTGGATATTAAGGTTAGAATGCATAATACCCTACACATTATCACTTAAATCTCAGGAAAGTTTGACCATTTACAGAAGACATTGTTTCTAATGTAAACAAGTTACTTTAGACGCTATTCCAGACTGAAGCTGGAAGACTAGCGGGATCTTGATCATGATAATATTAATTATGTGTTACTAATATTATACGACATTCGTTGAGAAACTTAATAACCCAATCTAATAAGTTCCACAACACCTGCAACCTGCTAAAAATCTTAATCTTTGTAAGCTCTAATTTGTCAGTTTATTAAATTTGGTGATCAAAAAAGACAATCTTTTTTTTTATGAAAATTCTATACTTCTGCATCCGCATCGCGCATCCAATCAAAATTTATTGCGCAGGTTTTCTTAGCCTCGAAGATGAATCCCTAGAGGTTCCCGGAAATGCAGGCCTTAAAGATCAAGTCCAAGCTTTGAGATGGGTGCAGCAAAATATCACAAGCTTTAATGGTGATGCGAACAACGTGACAATATTTGGAATAAGCGCAGGTGGCGCTTCGGTTCAATTCCATGTAAATTAACCGCACAGCTAGATGCACTTAATGTTAAATATATCCCTTCTAGATAATATCGCCACTGTCTAAGGGTCTGTTTCACAAGGCAATAAGTCAATCCGGTAGCGTGTTGAACCCTTGGGCGTGGGGATTCAAGAATGCAATCGAGGTAGCTGAAAAACTGGGTGAATCAGTCAGTACTGAAAAAGAGGCTTTGGAGGTATTGATGAAGACGTCCGTGGAAAAACTTTATGATGCTGTCAATGCGTTTTCGGATGTAAGTTTTTTAGCATTTTTGCTATGATTTAGCTTCATAAGTGCATCACTTTTTCTACCCGGCAAAAAGGATTATTTTGTCCATATGCCGTGCTATGATTGTTTAGTGAAATAGGATATTTTCCAATCAATATTTAAGAAAATAAATAAGAACTAAAAGTTGAGATTTTCATGAAAGTATATATATTCACATGACAATTGTTTCGACAACTCCGTGTCTTTATCAAATGATTTGTTAAAGACACGGTGTTGTGGCAACAATTGTCATGTGAGTATATATAATTTCGTGAAAATCTGAACTTTTAGTTCTTATTTATTTTATATTCATCAAGTAAAAGCCATCTCAGTTCAATATTTAAGACGTTTATGCTTCTAAACGTAATATTAGCGGGAATTTGCAAAATCGAACTCCGATCTAAAAAGTCCACGAAATAATCTACAAAAACTAACCAAATTTTTTGTTTCAAAAGTGACCAATGTCTGACGTTCATGTTTATATTAGCAGGAGTAGTCACATTCGACTCTTGGCAAATTCGGTTATATATATATATATATATATATATATATATATATATATATATATATATATATATATATATATATATATATATATATATATATATATATATATATATATATATATATATATATATATAAATATATATATATATATATATATATATATATATATATATATATATATATATATATATATATATATATATATATGATGACACTATATTCCGGGATATCATCCGTTCGCTTGCAGACGTTGAACTCCGACTAGAATCCTGCAGACGTTTCGCCAAAATCTCACTTGCCATCTTCAATGCTCGCGCTCCGAAAACACTTCGAACACTGGGCGGAGCGCGAGCATTGAAGATGCCAAGTGAGATTTTGGCGAAACGTCTGCAGGATTCTAGTCGGAGTTCAACAAGCGAACGGATGATATCCCGGAATATAGTGTCATCACATTTTTCCATCCGTAAATCAATACTTCAATATATATATATATATATATATATATATATATATATATATATATATATATATATATATATATATATATATATATATATATATATATATATATATATATATATATATATATATATATATATATATATTTGCCAAGAGTCAAATGTGACTACTCCTGCTGTGCTGCGTTGCAGGGTACTATTTGTATAAAGAAAATCAGTTTGTGATATTTCTGACATTACCCAACACAAAATTGGCGTTCTAACAGAGGTCCCATGTGTGTGGTTACTAAAATAATTGAATTTTACTTTATTTTCTAGGATCTGGTAGATACCAGCTTACGAAGGCCTTTTTCTCCTGTAATAGAAAAGCCAAACCCCACTGCATTTCTCAGTCAGCATCCTATCGAGATACTTAAATCGGGACAATTCAATCAAGTACCGATGATAGTCGGCTGTACATCGGAAGAAGGATGGAGATTCGATGTTTTAAAAAAATCGCGATCAAGAATTGAACAAGGAATTCCTTGGTTCTTTAATTTGAAGTCGGGGACTAAAGATTACCAGAGAGTTTTGAAGTCTTTCCAAGATATTTACGGTGGATGCTACTCCCAGGATGGATTTATTTACAAGGTATGAGAATTTTATTGGAGACATAGGTATCAGTTTTCGTATTTTTACACTTGTACACTTGTACTAGTACAAGATAGCTCACTACAGGGTCACCAGTACGTTATTTTTCTAATTTCCAATTTCCATTTTTTTCCCTATACTTATGTCACACAATTTTGATTATTGCGCTTTTCAATCTTTTTTGACTGGTGGCAAACGAGTAGTAAACGAAAATTGAAAAATGTTTGATGTGTAGTGTTCAAAATTTATCAACCAAAAACAACAGTTCCTAATCTGCCAAACTTTCCCTACACCTGTTTCACCGGATGGTTTGTTTTTTTTTTATACTTTGTTATATTGATTTTGACAAATTATTGTTTGCAGGTGTTTTAAAAGTTTTTGTAAAAAACTTTGTATCACAAAAAACACTTCTAAAATTAATATGATAACTACCTGATGTTACCATCAATGTTAATAATTGTACGTAACATGGCCATTTGTACACAAATGTCTTCTGAAAATCTAGATAAATCTCCTTTTTGTTACAGCTGTACTCTGACGCAATTTTTGTAGCAGGCATAACAGAGTTTATCAAATTGGTGGTTGGGTCGTCGAAAAATCCTGTCTTTTGTTATCAATTTGCAGTCGAAAGACCATTTGCGGACGTGTTGGGAAAAATGGTCAACCTGAAAGCTGAACTCGGTAAGAAACCAATTTAAAACTATCCGACAATTTACTGTCATCATTACTTCAAAACTTGTACATCGCTATGATGGAAGTGTGCAGTAAAGCCGTAAAAGCCGTAAATGTTTGAGCTGCCACTTGACTTTATTTTTCCTCTCACAAGCGTCTAATAACTTATTTTTACATATATTTTTTATTAACCTTTACTACCATAACTCATACACTTGATTTTTTCACTCCTCCCGTATAAATGGGCTATGTGTTATTTAGAACATACTTCCTTTCTGCCAGGCCTGTGCAAGCAGTCAATTAGGTTTTTTGAACTATTTTTGGATTTATACTACTACCTACTATCCTATAGCTCAAAGACCCTTATTCTGTAACCGCTTGATTAATTTTTCTTAAGATATTATATATATCATAATTATATGTATAATAGAAATGTGTAATAGAAATACCATTCAGCAGCTTCAAAGACTCATCCCCAAGATAAAAAAGTAAGTAATGAAATTATCACCATTTGATAAATAATTTGGTAAATAAGTTTCTGAAATAAATAAAAAAAAGTTGTTATTTCAGGAAGTTTTACGCTAGACTCTATTTTTTTAGCACTTTATCTTGAACAACGCATTTAATTTCTGATGTGATTTTTTACAAAATTTAACAAATTGAATTTTTTACTCTCCAAAAACAGCGCAGACATATATTATATCTTAGGAAAATACTCTAATTTTTTATGAATATCTCGCTTCACTATAATTTCTCTTTAGGCTGTGTTTCGAAATTTCCCATCAAAGAAGGAAAAAACTTCCCTTCTCTGGACCTTCCAGTTGTTGACATATTTTACGATTAACAATATTGGAAACAAATACTTATTCTGTTAGCTATATCGAGATGATTACCTCTTGAATATCATTCGATAAAGCTGTAGTGTTTACTGCTTTAGAATTTTTTGATATGTGTTTATAGTAAATTCATTTTCCATCTTCACAGGCAGAGGAGCATCTCATGGTTCTGATATACCATATATTTTTATGAGCAAAGGCAACGCAGCACACGAACCAGCTGATATAAAAATCATGAGAAACATTGTGGAAATGTGGACTAATTTCGCCAGGCATGGTAGACCTACCATTGACGACTCGCCGGCTAATTGGGAGGCAGCGAAGGATCCGCACAAATTCAAATGTCTTAAAATTGACGAAGAGTTGACGCTAATTGACAATCCTTTTTCCCAGACCTCAGAGCTCTGGGGAAAGTTATTCGAAGAGTATTATCCAAAAATTTGAACCTGTCAATGCCTTTGCCAAACAGCAATTAACATTTTTTTTCACTTATAAGTAACGCTTTCCCGACCATTTGGCGCGCCCTTGGCTCTGTGACATTTGAATAACCTACTAATGCATTCAGTCTTCTCTACAAAATCTTCTTCTCAACAATATCAACAAATAATTTTCGTCGGGAGGAAGAAATAAAGATATGGGTTGTGTTGGGTTGCTGGTTTGAGGTAATTATGTTACAGACGTATTAAATAAATGTAAAACTACAGTATTCTAAGTAAGCTTTAGTCGTTTCATTGTGTACGTAGTTTCTGTTATATGTTTTGCCTCGATAAAGTGGCAATGGAATCAATCATATACCCGAGAAGACGGATCTGGATTTTTAATATTTTATTAAGAGACCAAATTAAAATGCCTTCGTTTCAAATTACAAGTCGCAAAGGGATTGATTTACAGCAAAGTTTATTGTGTATATAAAAAGAAAAACAAAATCCCTAAAAGGATTTACGCATTCCATTTTCCATTTATGCAGACGCGAAAGTCGTCAATCTAAAGGATTTAGATTAAGACAGGCTTGAGAACGGAATCGACACGAAATTTAAGGAATCCCCGTGACTATTAATCAATTCAAGCAAATCGGCTTCTTACATTGTTTGATTGCAATCGCCAGATCAGTCGCAAGTAGAAATACACATTTTTTGTCCGCCGCTTCACTTCTCTAATTTCAGGTACAGACAACAAGGGCCCATTAAGGGCTCAAGCTCAAAATATCGAATTAGCGAAGCAACTATGTTGACGCTTAGCAATATCATTTCATTTATGTGGTTCGAAATTTAGTAATCGGATAGTTTCAGGACCTGCCAAACATTAAAATTGGACCAAGCATTTTTTATAATAAACAAAATCTAAAGAAAATTAATGTAACGTATACTGTAGTTGCTATACAATCTTCCGAAATTCAAACGCGAATTTAAGGATAACTGACCTCCCTTTTGGTTTTCAATTTCATTTTAAGAGTTTCCTACTTCCGGTCACGATCTGAGAAAGCGTCGGGAATAAATTCCAAAACAACAACCAAATAAACAGTGTGTATATTATTTTGGGCTTTGTTTTCTCTGCTTTCGTGTTATTTCGGGGTGTTGGCAGCACCGGCAAGGAGTGCAAAGTGGAGTGGATATCAAAGGAAATCTGTGCATACGGGCTGCGATTTAACAGATTGTTTCATTCGAAAGCAGTGACAGAATTTCCTACGACCGACGCAAAATTAGCAATTAACATACCACGCCAATAATGACGTGTGCCGGTTTCACTTGGAAGATAAGTAAACGGCAGATCACATACTGTGCAGATGCCGGCCTCAAATATCCCCTCACAGAAAAACGAACTTTTTACGAAGGGTGAGCGTGAGGAGGAAGTGCAGATGCAATACATCATCAGGGACTCTAATCATTGCAAAGTGCAAGAGCATTCCTGTAGGAGAAACGTCGTCACATAACATCTGATGGTCGTATTTCCGAGGTACCTCGTTTTCACACAGCTTTCTGAATTAAAAAACTTCTTTAAAAAATGCTCCTGCAAAATGGAACTCTAAATATTGTCCCAAACGGTGTTGTTAAGGATTAATATGTTAATAATAAATAATTAATATTAATAAACATAAATAACAAAACATAGAAAATAATTAATAAACTCCTTCCGCTCTGTGAGGAACGGTATCAGATTAAAACCTGAAGAAATAAGTCGGCTAAGTTAAAGTAACTTCACTCTCGCCATACATGATAAGAACCAAAATTGCACTGGTCCGTTGGCTGGTGACGCTAGTGCTTCCAAAGCAGATAGGATATTTAGTTACGAATGAAAAGTTGTGTTGAAAACATTTCATTACTTACCGGTCATGATACAACTGGCGGAATTTAGTAATGATATGTGCAAATGGCTTAAAGAAAATAAGTTTTCTCTTAAAGGATTATAGCATTTTTTGCATCAAAACAGAGATATGGACAGTGTGCTCATTTTTTTTATTGCAGGGTATCTCAGTCACTGTGAAAGATGTTGTTTTCAAAACAGTCCTAGCTCGCCTTGTTTTTCAGTTCCAGAGAGGAATCGAAAAATTGTTTTTTTCAGGAACCCTTTTTATTTTTATTGCAATGAGTTGGTGAAAACTGAATCTTATAGATTTTTTTTACGGCCTCTCTAGTTACGCTATTCTATCATATTTTTATTCCACTTAACAAACGGCTCCACAAAGAATATCGTCACACTATAAAGGTGGAGAAAAAGAAAATTTAAGATGATATAATAATGCAAATGAAAAATCTAAAACCACATGGAATATTGTTAATTCGGAGAGACGATCTAAGCACATTAACTCTATTCAATCATCAATTACTCCGTTGGAGTTTAACAGATATTTTGCTTCTGTGTCAGCGGGGATAACAAAAACCATGACACCTTCATTAGACCCAGTTTCTCGTTTTTTATGTCAGCAGTTGTGGAGGGTGATGTTAAAACATCTCATTGTCTTGGTTATTATGGTCTAAATGCCAATATTATTAAGCAATCAATATCTTCACTTCTGAAACCTATTACGTTACTAATAAACAATAGCATTGATGAGGGATGTTTTCAAGATGAATTAAAAGTGATAAAAATCCTTCCACTCCATAACTTATATCTTAGATAATTTCAGACCCATAGCAATCGTTCCTATCATTGGAAAAATTTTTGAATTGATAATAAAAGATAAATTTTGAGGGAAGGAAATTATTAACAGATTCCCAATTTGGTTTTCGGTCGGGTGCCTTATACACAATGATTGAAGATGTGGTTGATGGCTTTGAGGAGGGCCTGTCGACTTCGGTAACGATGTGTGACCTCAGCAAGGCATTCGACTGCGTGGATACTAATATACTTCTTTCTAAACTTGAATACTACGGAATTTGTGAAAATACCCTAGCTCTTTTAAAATCCTATTTGACCGGAAGAAAGCAATATGTTGTCTGGAATGATCGGGAATCCACTCTGTTGGACATTACTAATGGAGTGTCTTGATCCACTTTTGTTTATAATATACATAAATGACGTAGTATGCTTGCAGTATACTCTATGCGGATGGCACATCATTGATTGAATCGGAGAAAGATCTAATTAATTTAAATAAATGCCACTACACACTCCAGGATTCAGCAGTGGTTCTCTGCAAATAAACTTAAATTAAATTCCGATAAAACAAAGACTCTAATTTTCAATACCAATAGAAGAAGTAAAAAATCTAAACCGGTCAAACTCCTTGGTGTTTACTTAGATGCGTTTTTAACCTGGTCGCCTCATATAGACTCCCTGTGCGGTAAATTGTCTTCTCAGGTTTTTGTTCTGAGACAACTGTGAGGTTCCATCTCGCAAACCACTCTCCGAATAGTTTATTTTGCACTGTTTCATAGTGTCTTATCATATTGACTACTATTATGGGGGAACGCAACGGAGGCAGAGAGAGCCTTTAGATTGCGCCCAATATTCAAAAAATATTCAAAAATTAAGATCGAGGTTGTGTACTACACAAAAAAATAAACTAAATCTAGATTTGTATAATTTTTTGCTAACACTCTTTTTCGGTCCAAAAATATTGATGTTAAACGAATTTCCATTAAAAAATTCAAACAATTATAAAAAAAGAGCATTGTTTCTATTCTATAAACCAATTTGTTACTCATCAGGCACAGTAGATCTAAGTTATTTTATAAATTAATTATTCTTAGAGTGTACAAAGTTTTACTTTCTGGTTACACTGGTTTAACTGTTTATATGTAATATATTTTGTTTGTAGACTTCCTTACTTCAAAAATACGTTTTTGTATTTATAAGTGGTCAATAAACGATATTTATTTATTTATTATTATTGTTACTATTACTATTATAAGAATATAGAATATATAAAATAGAAACCACTTTTCCACGGTTAAGTTATAAATTGTGTTATACAAATAAATTAGAGGAAGCAATGAAAATGTTGGATATGTCTTTGATTAGAAAGCAATATGGGGCATGAATTGCACAATATTGTAATCTGGAATATATATTTTTTTAATTTATGCATTGCATATTCAACAAGTGTAAATATCTATACGTATTTTTGTAAATAATACCAAACTATTATAAAGTCTTAGAAGTCGTATAAATTGTGTTTCTTTGGTATGGCTTGTATCTCAAAACTTACACTTTATGAAAAACAAAAGTGTTTGGCAGCGGTTGGAAATAAGGTTCAGCATTTTTAAAGTTTACTATTTTTTGTATTCTATTCGTATTTTTTAAAATATCAATAATAATAACAGTCATTTGTCAATTGGAATAAACTTTAGGTAGATATTTCTAAAATGTCAAAATATATGTTTATCATGTATCTAATTTGGGATACTTAATTCCATTCTTAATCCTTAATTTCATCTTCGTGCTTATTATGACCTCAAAAAGCACTTATTGGAGCTTCTGACTTCGTAGCAACCACGAATGTATTAATTACTAGGCAACTTCCGTATATTGGTAGGAATAATAAATTCTACCGATATTCCAGTGGATGAATGCGCAGATGTTGGCCTAACGGTCTAACATTTTAGTGTTGGTAAAATCTCGACTGGTCATTAGAATTGCTTGCCAATCAGTAAAAATGTATAAGTATAGGTACAAGTGTGAGTTGAGCAATAGAAATGCATCGCTATCAACCTGCCATGGACCATTATCATAGAGTACTTTTATTTAAACACGACATATTCCAATGCAGAGGTTATACCTCCGAATATTCTGAAAATCAAAATCCAAAACCAAAATCCAATGCACCCCCAACGATAGCCACTTATTTGCCAGTCATTTGCCAGTTGCCAACGGAGGTATGTGTCGGTATATTAGGCCACAATAAAATAACCTACCACGAAGGGAATAAAATGTATCTGTGACTGCAATTATTTCTTTGTATGGTTGGTTTTTTTTAGTTTGTCTAACTCAAGGACGATATTTGTATTCTAATGTTGCGTTTTAATCACCAATGCCTCTACGTATGATAAATAATTTTATTATAAACATAAACATCTCTGTTCAAGAAACTCCGTTGAGTGTCCTCTACTAAATCCCCTTAATGCGAAGCTACAGTCTTTGAATCTCCATTAAAAAATAAGTTTTAATAATTATTTATTTAATTAGTTATGTATTGATTTAGTTACCATATAAGAATACAAATAAATACCTTGTTGCTAGTTGAAAATATTATGACATTAATAATTTGTGTATATACAAAAGTAATTTTCTA